GTGCCTGTGTGTGTGCATATGCATGTGTGTGTGCATATGCATGTGTGTGCCTGTGTGTGTGTACCTGTGCATGTGCCTGTATGTGTGTGGGGGCCTGTGTGTGTGTGTGTGTGTGTGTGTGTGTGATGTGCAGGTGCATGCATGTGCGTGTGTGTGCCTGTGTGTGTGCATATGCATGTGTGTGCCTGTGTGTGTGTACCTGTGTGTGTGTGTGATGTGCAGGTGCATGCATGTGTGTGTGTGTGATGTGCATATGTGTGTATGTGTGTGTGTATATGTGTATGTGTTTGTGTGTGATGTGCATGCATGCCACAGTGATACCTTAGGTATCAGTCCTCACCTTCCACCTTGTTTGAAACAAGGTCTATTCACTGCTACATGTGCGAGGCTAGCTGGCTCACAACCCTGAGGAATCCTGGTCTCCACCTTCTGAGTCACCATAGGAGCGCTGGGATTATAGATGTGTGCTGCTACATCTATCTTTTCAGGAGTTCTGGGGACCTGGACTCCGCTAATGCCACAAGTCCTTTGCCCCCGAGCCATCTGTCACCTCATACTAGTTTATATATATCAATAAGCACCCACCACTGTTCTGGTATAACCCACGGTTCCCATCATGTCACCACCATTGAAGCTCTGTCACCGCCCACCCCAACAACTGTCTCCCACCCATCTCGTCAGCATCACCATGATCAGGCAAACATGAAAACGGAAGCATCAAGGACACCCGCTCTCTGTGAAAACACTAAGATGCCACCCTATGAAGGACATTCTCAGAATAGGTATCATTAGTGCATAGCGAGGACTTCTCTGAACACTGTCAAATGCTGCTGTAGACTTGGGTCTCTCTCTGGGGCTAACTTGCACATTTCCCCCCATCAGGACCAAGCTGCCCCGGTCTAGGGCACTGACACCTCTCACCTTCAGGCTGGGCTCCAGGTTGCAGCAGCTCTTCCAAATGGTGTTGTGGTCATGGATGCTGTTTAATTCATTCCAGTTCCCCAGCTGGAAGACACCCCCGAGAGTAACTGTCTTGAACCTAGATCAAAACAAAGAGTTCGAAGGAAAATGAAGCCTGGCCGAGGGAGGCATCTCTCTCCTCTCCTCCCTCACGATCGTCTCCACTGAGTCGTCCACTCCTGTCAACATCGCCACCCCCGCTAAACACATCCCACTGCCCCTGTGATCTCCGTCAACCCACTGTGCTACCCATCCCTGGCACCATCATCGCCAGCAGTACCATCCTCTCCATCAGCGACGGAGATGCTCAGGGGGCAAAGGACTTGCAGCACAGCAGTGGGAACCTGAGTTCAGACCCCGCAGAACTCATGGAAAGACAGATACAGCAGCACACGACGAGCATCATCATCAACACCAACCTAGTCACCCTGTATCCCACGAAAGCAACATCACCATGACATTGCCATCCCCCGCCACGCCAATAAAATCACCTCCCCTCCCAAGGCATCCAGCACCACCACAGCACTCACTGCCTTGGAAATCATCATCTCCAACATGCTAGCAACATGGTTCGTCTTCATCAACACCAAATGTCATTCCCCTCCAGCACATCACCACCATCAACGATGCTGATCTCCTTAACATCGCCACGTTGACACCCTACGCCTGTCAACGTCCCCATCAGCACCATCTTTCCCCATCAATAACCATGCCACTGTCATTGAACACCAACAGCCCTGCCAACCTCTCAACACTGCCCCGTAGATGCCATCACCTCCGAGGTCAACATTACAGCACCGTCAACACCATTGCTCTCCCGGCTCCCTCTGGGGCCATCCCCACCACCTTCGGTGTCACGGCCTGTGTATCCAGGGTCTTTGTCCTGGCTCTACACCACCGCCACTAAGAGGGATGCTCAAGGTAAGGTCCAGTCAAGGCTAAATCCCACCATCCTGGGGATTTCATTGCCCAAGCCCATGTATAAAACCTGGAGGAGAAGCCGGGCGGTGGTGGCACACGCCTTTAATCCCAGCACTCGGGAGGCAGAGCCAGGCGGATCTCTGTGAGTTCAAGGCCAGCCTGGTCTACAGAGGAAGATCCAGGACGGGCACCAAAACAACACAGAGAAACCCTGTCTCAAAAATAAAAAACTGAAAGGAAGGAAGGAAGGAAGGAAGGAAGGAAGGAAGGAAGGAAAGAAGGAAGAAAACCTGGAGGAGAAACACTGGGCAGGTGGATGGAGTGTTAAGAGGCCATGAAAGTGTCCCCTCTAAGACCTTAGATCAGTCAGAGATTTACCCTGGGATGATGTACGGGGAGTTGTAGATGCCGAGGGCTGGGTCATGGGTGAGGATGTAATGCTTCATCCAAGGGGCCTCCACCTGTTGATTCAAGGCAGACACACCTCCTCAGGGAGCGAGGCTGATGGTCCCCCTTTTCGTTTGCTCCCCTCATTCCCCTGACCCAGAACTGCATGAGGATCACCTGACAGACAGCTCCCCTTGTTCCCTGGAGCATTCCATGTCCTCACCACATGTCTATAGAAAAACCTTAACTCACAGGAGCAAACACACACACACACACACACACACACACACACACAAGTGCACATGTGCATGTGGCCACATACCATCGGTGTGCCCACAAATAGGCAATCACGTACATATATGTCCCAGGCATCGTGAGAAGTCTGGGACAGTGGTGACACCCGCACACCAGTGAACCCGGGTTCTAACCCCAGTCCTACTCTTTTTTGCTGTGCATTCTTGCATGTGTTACTTGACATCTCTGTGCTCCAGATAAGTGGCGGTGTGACATGATAGGACCGTCTCAGAGGGCTGTGGTAAGGACTAAACGATCAACTCGGTCAAGTGCTTAGGTACGTATCTGGCCCTTGATAAGCACTTCATAAAGGTTCGCTGTTTTCTTAATAACTCAGGCCTGTGCTACGGCTTTCACATTGGGAAAACATTTCCACACCCACTTTGCTTTGGGTAAGAAATTCCAAAACGGAACATTTGGGGTACAGGGGGTAGGTTGGTCCCTACTTCTTCAATAGGTCACCACCTCAAAGGTTGGAGTCACCCGACACCGCCGTCCACCAGCTTTGGAGTGGCGGCAGCAGGCAGGGCCAGCTCTCAGCTGACCGCAGCATCTCACCTGAATGATCTGGCCCCGGCCTGGCTGCAGCGAGGCGTCTGCCTGCAGCGCCCCAGCCCACACCCCGGTGCAGTTGATGATCACGTCCGCGCCTCCTCTTGCCACCTGGCAGCAAGGACAAGGGACAGGGAGGAGTGAGGACTGTGCCGTGCCCTGGCCCCTTCAGACTCTCACACCACAGCTGTCTGCTGCCTGGGGCGCTGGGCGAGGTGTGCTGGTGATCCAGGGACCTTGGCTAGGAATGTCCTTAGCTCCTTGAGGCTCAGCTGCTCTCTCTCTCTCTCTCTCTCTCTCTCTCTCTCTCTCTCTCTCTGTGTGTCTGTCTGTCTGTCTGTCTGTCTCTCTCTTTTTTTTTTTTTCCAAGACAAGGTTAATCTATATAACCCTGTCTGTCCTGGAATTCACTCTGTAGACCAGGCTGGCCTCGAACTCACAGAGATCCACCCCCCTCTGCCTCCCGAGTGCTGGGATTAAAAGTGTGCACCACCACCACTCAGCTGACAATAATGTTTACAGGCTACTGTGAGGATGCCATGTGACCCTGAGGAGAGACTGCTGGACAGAGAGTGTTGTAGACGGAGAACTTCCCTGAAATCTTAAAAAAAAAAAAAAAACTTTCTATTAAGCCAAGATGGCTCCAGTCTTCATCAGACCCCTTTTAAGATCCTCTTACCTTCTCTCTGCCAGGACACTGGCTTCGGCTCTGCCTATGCCCCAAACGCTTGCCAAGTCAGACACAGTAAGCACCCCCATGCTTCCAGCCCATCCCTGGTGACTCCCCTCAAGGCCATCATGGACACATAAACTGCTCATTGTGTTCTGTCTTAGAGCCACCAGGAAGGGGAGCTGTGTCAGAGTCAGCCCAAGTGTCCATCTGGGCCAGCCCTGACCCCCAGGAGCTCAACACCCGCAGTTGGAGGTGCCGGCCTTCGCCTGTGCCAAGCATTACTCTGCATTCTGGGACTACATGAAGCCGAGTAGCTGACCTGATAGGACATGCTGGCCCTGATCTCCTCACTGCTCATGCTGATGGTGTGCCTGTGGTCCCAGCTGAGTGCCATGTCACCCCAGATGTCAGTGGGAAGCAGGGAAGGGTCTGAACCGGGGAGTGAAGCAGAGCTGACTCTGCCTCTAAAACCCACCTGGGGTCAGACAAAACCAGTCCCGTCTGGCCGCTGTGATTTCACTGCTCCCCCCCACACACACACATCACACTGACACCTCCTCCCTCAGAACGCCCAAGGCCTCCTGGGATTGAGACAAGGCTTAGAGCCTGGGGCAGGCCTGCAGGGACCCCGAAAGTCTAAGAAGGGGTCTCCCACACAGCAGCAGGAAATACCTTCCCTCCCTCCCTCCCACACCCATCCCCTCCCACCCCTGCCACTCACCTCTTCGAAAGACTCCACCTTCCGATGGACGAACTCCACTCCCCTCTCCTTTAACCTGGGATGAGGGGAGAAATCAAAACAGCCCCTTCTCCGCCACATCCCTCCTGGAGGGCAGCACAGGGGGCATTGCTGTGGACAGAGCCCCACGAGATGCCCCTATGTGGCCATTTAGTTCATGGGCACCTGACTGGACCAGCGGCCTGAAAGTCATCCTTTTGAAAACAAGGCCCTCTTGGGTGGTCCCAGCCGCTCACTGAGAGGTGGAGATTGGTCTGATTGGTCTTCCTAAAAGTCACGGAGCGAGCAGCGCACTGAGAGACTGGGACACAAGCCCAGGCCTCTTTCATTGTATTCTGCTGCCATCATAGTGCTTTATATCAAAAGGGACAGACTTCAGGGGTGTGGGGAGAAGAGGCAGAGTTGGACCAGGGGCCAATGCACCTTTGCAGAGCATGACGCCAGAGACAGTGGGCCCGGGGACACCCATCCCCCGCTTTGAATGTCCCAGAGAAGGGCTCAGTGGTGCCGTGTCTGCGAGGCCCTGGGTTTGATTCCCGCACTGAAAACTCCATCAAAAGAGCTAGAAACCATAGCTATCCAGAGGGTTCCCTCAGAAGAAGTTCTAACTACATACTTTCTTCACCATGGGATACCTGAGAAGAGGCGGGTCAGGGGTCACAATGTCCCAAGGACAAGAGTAGCCGCGTCAGCACAATGCTGTGGTGCAGTTCCCTTAGATTTGTTAACGTCTGGAAGGAGCAGGAAGGCTCCCGAGACTCGAAGTTAATGAACATCACGTGACTCGGGAAGATGAAACACAAGATCCACGAGGTCCCTCCCCCAGGTTACACAATCAGTGCCTGGCTAAGGGAGGAGGAGACTCGGGCCAGCTGAGCAGCCCAGGGGAGATCCTCCCAGGCAGGCAGCTGCCTCTGAGATGAGCTGAGAGCCCCAGGGAGGCAGATTTTACCTGTGCTGGGCTGTGCTGTGTCTTGGGGTCATTCTTACTCCTGTAAATGACCCCTCACCCAAACTCGTGTTACCAACGCAAGGCATTCATTGGTTTTCACCAAACTGGACTTTGAGCCTGTTGTGGGTTCCCCATCTGGGGTGAGTAGTTGTGTGTGTGTGTGTGTGTGTGTGTGTGTGTGTGTGTGTGTGTGTGTGTTGTGTCTCTTCAGGAAAACTCACATGTGACACGGTTCCCAAGTTTGGCTGATAGCTACACTCACCCAGGCAACTTATACAAAATTCTGGACCTACTAGACATGAGACTCTCCATTAATCCCAGCGCTTGGGAAGCAGTGATAGGTGGGTCTCTGTGAGTTCCAGGTCAGCCCTGGTCTACATAGAGAATTCCAGGCCAGCCAGGGCTACACAGTGAGTCCCTGTCTCAAAAAGACAAAGAAGAAAACCAAATTCTGGACCGGTGCCCCAGGGGTTTGGACTCAGCAGGTGTGGAGTAGGATCCTGAAAGCTGTATTTTAAAAGGTCTTCTCAGATCACAAAGTCTCCATTCATTTCGGAGTTCTTCAAAATCTTAATAAAATATAGGAACTATATAGTCTCCTTTAATAGGAATGTACACGATCCCGCCAGCTAATGTTTGCTAACGAGGAACATGACTGATCCATATTAAAACATCAGTGACAAGACGGGGGCATCTGTTCTTGGCTCCATCACTTTGCATTGTTCTAGGGATACTCGCAGGAGCAGTTAGAGAAGAAAAATGAAAGGGAGAGAAAATTTTTTTAAAAAAGATAATTCATGCACACTATGTAAATCTATCTAGAAAAACATTTCGATCCTTTTTATGAGCATGAAGGCTTTCGTGATGTTGCTAAGAAGTACAGCAAATGAAAATCTGCCCAGATGCTTTGATGCCCTGCGGGGTGCAGAACCATTGCCTCAGCCCACAGCGGTGATCAGGACCGGGGACAGCTCCCACACAGCACCCCGGGATTTTCCTCAGCTTGGTCCCTGGGACCTGTCCTTCTCAAAGGGAGCTTTCGGTCTTACCTCTCAGTCAGCCACGGTAGGTAGCTCTTCCCCTCCAAAATCAGGCTTGTGTTGAACCAGCCATAGCTAGAGTCAGAGTGGGGGAAAGAGGTCAGAATCTGCAGTTTGAGGGTTGGCTTGGTGTTATTCTCTGAGAACCCAGTGGCTAGAGCTGAGCTACCAGGTGGCATTTGTGGGGTGGTGGTGGGAATTCAGCTCAGTGCAAGGAGGAATTTCCCATCAAAGCATGCCATCCTGGGATATGCAAATAGAAGTTGGATGTTTTGGGGAATGGGGTCAGGTGAGGAGAGGACCGGAGGGCAGGGTCATGGAAGCACACAGGCTGAGCTGGAATCCGAGTGTGGTCACATGGCTCTGTGGCCCTGGGGAATCATTTAGCTTCTCTGAAGTTCTGTTTCCTCACCCAGTGTGACAGTCAGTCGACTTCCTGCTGCCTTCTGGTCAAGATGTAACCAGCACCACACACCTGCCTGTGTGCCACCATGCTCCCCATAATCAACCTCTGAAACTGTAAGCCATCACCTCAATTAAATGTTTTCTTTGTAAGAGTTGCCATGGTCATGGTGTCTCTTCACAGCAATAAAAAACCCTAACTAAGACAAGTTTAAATGTTGAACATCCCTCAAAGGCCATAGGCACAGGCTTGGTCTCTGTGGTGGTAGCCCTTGAGAGGTGGTGGGATTAGAAGGTTAGGGTTAGAAAAAGATCCTTAAGCCATCAGTGGCCTTTATGTGGGACCTCATCGTCCCCTCTCTTTGCTTCCTGGATTGTGACAAGCACTCTCAAGAGCTAAAAACAAGCCTTTTTTCACAGGTAGATTTGTGTCTAGTATTCCATCATATGGATACAGAGTTGATTGACATTTCAGTCCAAAGGCCAGTGCACCAGGAACCCCAGGATAGGGCTGGACATCGGAAGGACAGGGTATCAGGGGCTCTGAGACTGAGATGGGATAGCAAATCGGTGCTTCTGTTCTTGGCTGCCTTCTGGATAGTTCTGTTTGAACTGTCATGCCCCAGTGTCCTTTGCCCACGACAGGAATCTTACCTGTAGTCAGGGAATATGTCCATCTCTCTGGGGGTCAGCTTCCGAAATCCCAGAACTGTGTTTCTCCAGAAGGGATCCTGTGGAAGCAGAGACAGGCTCACAGGGATAGGTGGACTTGACCATTAGGATAACAGACACTCACAGACTGCTCGCTGGGTGACAGTTGGCAGCATTTACTTATCTGGCTCTGTTGTTTGATCCTCACAACCAGCCATTGAGGTGGATGCTGTGCGCATCCTTACAGACAGGCCACATGACCTTGGAGAGGTCGTAACTTGTCTAAAGCCACAGGGCTAAGAGGTAGAGCTCAGATCAATTTGGCTCAAGTCTAGCATCGGAGTGGGGGGGGGGTAAAGTCTGGGTGTAGGGGAGAGACAGAGGGTCTCAGTGGACCTGAGGCTGGGGTGTAGCTCAGTGACAAGATACTTGCCTAGCACTTACAAAGCCCCGACCCTCAACTCCACCAAAATAGACAGATAGACAGATAGACAGACAGACAGACAGACAGACAGACAGACAGACAGATAGATAGATAGATAGACAGATCTGATTTGGACCCGTGTCTGTGACCTCTGAGTGCTCCCTCGGCTCAGGGGCCCAGCCCCATCTGTGCCCTGTTAGGTCCAAATCACCCACCCACAATTAGTGACATTGTCCTAAACAGAGGACTTTGGCAGGGTAAGCGGATAGATTGTTATTGGCTAAACAAGCCTAAAGGTGGGTTTCTGTTCACCAGAAAAGCAGAACAGGGAACACCCCTATTCTGCCAGGAAACTCCCTTAACCTCCCCTCAAAGGTCAGCTACCTCAGGCAAGGACAGGTAGTTCCTGCTCAATCCTGGAACCTATATCAGCTGCTTCTCCACCCTGCTGACATAAAATCTACTTGCTTTCCTCCCATCTTGCTCTTCTCTCTGTCTCCCCGTACACCCCGAGAGATAGCCTTGGCAATTTGGTCCCCAATCAACCTTTCTTTCTACCCACAGAGTGGTCTAGCTCTGTAGTGTCTCTGCACCATGGCTTATTGCCCTCGCGGTCAAGGACTCTCCGCTCACCGGAACTTCATCCCGGAAGAGATTGTAGCCTGAGATTAGGGTCAAGCCCATCTTTTCGGCGTTTGGAGAGTGGATGTGGTTCAGCAGGTAGTCGAAGGTTTGCTGATTCCACTCCCTGGAAGGGTAAGAAATAGCACGTTGAGTCTCTTCTACCGATTCCTGTAAAACCTGAGTTTAGGTCAAGGAATTAAAATCTTGTTTGCTCCCCACCCTGTAAGACCTTGAAGGAATCTGATGATGACCTGGAGCTGAGACCCCTCCCCCTTTGTTTCCTGTGCACCAATTCTTTTTAGACTACCTAACGAATACCAGCACTCTGGATGCAGAGGCAGGTGGATCTCTGTGAGTTCGAGGCCAGCCTGGTCTACAGAGAGAGTTCCAGGACAGCCAGGGCTACACAGAGAAACTGTGTCTCAAAAATCAAAATAAAAAACAAACCAGACAGAGACAGAGAGACAGAGAGACAGAGAGAGGTTGGACCCAGCCAATGGGGAAAAGACATAGTCACCACCTGAGTTAGAATAAAAATCGAATGCACTTCCTGTCTGTGTATGTTTGGTCTTCTGAGCACACCCTCTAGTTCAAGATAAGCGTTGCTTTGTCCAGACACTTCACGTGGAATATTGGTCTCTTTCTTTGTGACCCCAAACTTATTCCTAATCAAAATGGCACCAGAGTCTTGGTCACTCAGTGGCACCCTGGGCAGGACTGTTGAGAAGGTCAGCTTGTGTCGCACTGTGGTGAGGCTGTGTGCAAAACCCACACATCCGTGGGGCTCACTCCTCCAGTGCTCCGAACAGCCCAGATGGAAACCCGGGAAGAAAAGCGTCCCCATTGCACACCCTGAGGAGCATGCCTGGGGGACCACACAGTGCAGCCTGGAACTGAGCACCCCCGCTGTGAGCACAGGGTCGGGGTGTGGGGAGGGGGGGACAGACACTGGCTGGCTGGCTGTCTTCTCAGGCACACAGCTGGCTCCAATCCAGTCAGGCTGTCCCGTGTGTGCTGGCCGAAGCCTCTGTGACTGATCGGTCCCTTGTTCTCTCTGCAGTTTACAGGTCCTCAAGAAGCCAACATCAAGGCTCTCTGTAGGAGCACACACTTTTAAAATCCTAGAAGGAGGCAGAGGCAGGCAGATCTCTGAGTTCGAGGCCAGCCTGATCTACATAGGAGGTACCAGAGCTACATGGTGAGACCCTGGCCAAAAAAAATTAAAAAATAAAAAAAATATAAGTGACCTTGAGAGCTGTGTTTGAGGTTAAAAGACCCGAGATGGAGGGAGGCAACACCATTGACGGAAACATGGCTTCAGACTTTCTTGACAGGAGAGAGCATTACGGTCTGCGTGATGCCATTCACTGTGGGGTTGTCGTTGACATCTGTCAGCTGCTAAACACACATCATGGCCTTCTGTACCTTGTTCAGTCAACATCCACAATGCTCTGGCTCTGGATTCATCGGTGCTGTGGCATTGCAAGCCACTCAGCTCAAGGAAGAACAGCAAAGGTCCCAGTGCACAGAACTCATCGCAGAATGGGCCATCCACAGTCACTAGCACTATTCATCTATTTCCTGTGTGTGCGCGGGCGCGCGCGCGCGCACGCACACACACACACACACAGGCACGCACGCACGCACGCACGCACGCACGCACACACACACCTGCTGTGGTCCTCATGGGAGGTCTGACAACAGCTTTGGGTGCTGCCCTGGTCTTCCACCTTGTTTACCGTTTGCTGCTGTGTGCTCCAGGCTAGCTGGGCTGGGAGTTTTGGGTGATTCTCTAGCATCCTCCTGGAGTCTCCCCAGCAAGGACAGCCTGAGGTTACTGATGTGAGGGACTACATCCAGCTCTGAAGTGGGCTCTGGGGATCTGGCCCCGGGTGGTCAGACTTGATCGGGCTAGATCTTGAGCCACTCTTTGCTCCAGTTTCAGGGATGAGCCCTGCGGTGATGCCTTAGAGGGCTGAAGTTTAAATCACTGTGCTTAAGAGATCCATAAAACGGAAACGCCTCTAACCTGTGGACCCAATTGCCCAAGGACAGAGAACTTTTGCTGCTCTTCATGTAAGAGGAATAGCCATGTGTTTTCACTTCTGTAACAAGGTTGGCTGCCCCAGCTGCACAGGACATGCTTGATCACACATAGGCAGGAAGTACGTCAGGGTGTATGCAGCCATTCTCTGGGAATCCTGGGTATGGACCTGGCCAGTGTCCATCATCTTAGCCAGTATTTTAATAATACTTGGCTCAAACACTGTGGTAGTGCCAGGCGGTGGTGGCGCATGCCTTTAATCCCAGCACTCGGGAGGCAGAGCCAGGCAGATTGCTGTGAGTTTGAGGCCAGCCTGGGCTACAGAGTGAGATCCAGGACAGGCTCCAAAACTACACAGAGAAACCCTGTCTCGGAAAAAACAAACAAACAAAAAAAAACAAAACAAAACAACAACAACAACAAAAACAAAAACAAGCAAACAAAGCTATGGTAGTGGTCTTACTCTTGCAGGATGGAATCAACAGTGCCCAAGATGGCTATCGTAGGATCCAGGACCACAGCTGTGTCTGCTGCCCAGCTCATTATTTCTTATTATTTTATTCTTTCTGTATTTATTTATTTTAGAATAAAGAGTCTCAAAGCCTGGTGGTGGTGGTGAACGCCTTTAATCCCAGCACTTGGGAGGCAGAAGCAGGTGGATCTCAGTGAGTTTGAGGCCAGCCTGGTCTACAAACTGAGTTCTAGGACAGTGAGAACTGTTATGCAGAGAAACCCTGTCTCAAAAAACAAAGCAAAACAAACAAACAAACAAAAATATAGAGTCTCCCTATGTACTCTTGGCTAGCCCAGAACTTTAGACCAGGCTAGTCTCCAGATTGCAGTGACTTCCCCTTCCTCTGCTTCCTGAGTTACGGGATGGGTAGGTGCACTCACCTGGTTGTTTATGTTTTAATCTGAGTCTCTTGTCACCCTCAATGACCTCAAACTTATAACCCCCTCCCCTCTCCCCCCAAATGCTGGAACACATGTCGTCAGGTCAAAGCTTCTGCAGAGGACTTTGTCCATGGTGATGAGGGCTCCCTCTGTGGACTCAGCTTCATGGGCCCCCAGACTACCACATGGGACCCGTACTCACACTTCCTGTGGGTTGCTGGGGTCTGAGAGATAGGGCTGCCAGAAGCCCGCAGCCACATCACTGGTGGTGAACGGGGTGAAGCGGTCCGCGTAGATCTTCATCTGCAGTGGCTGCCTTGGGTGGTAGCGCTCATGAATGCAGAGGGCCGTGGACAGTCCAATGACTCCCGCTCCAATCACCACCACACGCATCACACCAGCCTGCCAGAGGAGAGAGTGGACTGAGGGTTACTGTCGTCACTGCCACCATGGTGGGCTCCTGATGGCTCAGAAAGCACCAGACACGCTGCTGCCGAGTCGCTTCCAAGGGTGATGACTGAGAGTCCAAGATTCTAGAACGTAAGAGGTAGTCTCCCAATTTTTAAAATGTGTTATTTTCTTTTCTTTTCTTTTAGGTGTGTGTGTGTGTGTGTGTGTGTGTGTGTGTGTGTGTGTGCGCACCTGAGTGCAAGGTGTCAGTGGAGGCCAGAAGAGGGCATCAGATCCCCTGGAGCTGGAGTTACAGGTGATTGTGAGCCCCGAGACCTGGACTTGGGTCCTCTGGAAGAGCAGCACACGCTCTTTACTGTTGACCATCTTTCTATCCTCCACGTCCCTGTTTTGCAAGTAGAAGAAGCGTGGAGGCGTGCAGAGGGAAATCACGTGCCGAAAGTCGCTCGGCGGCGGATAACCACAGTAGCTCCCTGGGTGCTCAGCCACCGTTACACAGGGTAGTCCAGTGGTCAGGGGTACCGGCTCAGCCCTGCTAGCTGTCAACCCTGGGCAAGCTACTAAGTTGCAGCCTGGTGAGACACACCTCAGGGGTGGACGGGGGCGACAGGTCGGTGCAGAGGAGAGGCTGCCATGCTGAGGGAGCACCTCCTGTGCTCCGGCCTCATAACTACAGCTCCACACATCCTCATTCCTGAGCCTCCTGTGTCCTTCCGAGGCCAGGGCTGCTGTTTTCAGACCCACGCTACAGGTAAGGCAGCTGAAGTGCCTCACACACAGCGCCACCAAGTGGTGGTGCTGGAATTTAACTCAGTAAACGCAGCACACCTTGGCTGCACCCCTGCTGGGTGCCAGGCCGCCCCCGCTAGCCCATGCGGCTCTGAGCATGCCAGACGCAGGGTGTGCCCTCAGAACTCGCTCTTCCGACAGAGGAATGGGACTGTCTTGGAGGACTGAGCTGGCTGCACCTTCAGATGTTTTAGGCCTAGCAGCTTTTGACCTCGCGCCATTCAGCCAGCTCCCGCGAGGCAGAACAAGGGGGTTGTGTGTGTCCGGAAGGGCCAAGCTCGCCTCCCCTGCACTCAGCTGGCCTCCCACAGACCCCAGCTCTTGGCAACACGGGCCCCGGGCCCTGGACAGCGGAACATTCTCAATACGGCCTAGTTTTGCTAAGGGGGATGGCTGCAGGCCACAAGGGCTGGACTCGGCCGGGGTTTCTGACGCCAAATTGGGGACTGAGTCCACACACGGAGGGTGGCAGCTTGAAGTCCGCCCCTGGGTGCTGGGGGTTTAGGGAGCAGAACTTCCTATCCCCCTTCGGCACCCCCACCCCCGAGACAAGACCACTTCATTAGTAAAACAGGAGTCACTCCAACCTCATCAGCTGCCTTGAGGATTCAACTCCAGGCTCTGCGGTGGTTCCTGTTACGGCGCCTGGTGGGCTTTCAGTACACAGCACACAGCACTCAGTACTTGGTACACAGTAGTTAGTATATAACACTCAGTACTCAGTACTTAGTATAGAGCACAGTACTCAGTGCACAGTACTCAGCACATAGTACACAGTACTCAGTGCACAGTACTCAGCACATAGTACACAGTACTTAGTGCACAGTACACAGTTCATAGTACACAGCACACACTACACAGTATTCAGCACATGCTAGAGAGTACTCACCACACAGCACATGGTACTCAGTGCACAGTTCACAGTGCACAGTACACAACACACAGCACTCAGTACTCAGTACATAGTATACAACACTCAGTACTCAGTACTTAGTATACAGCACAGTACTCAGTGCATAGTACTCAGCACACACTACAAAGCACACAGTACATAGAAGCCCATAGTGTGCTGGATTAGCAGGGCGGACATGCTCAGCTTGGCCTAGCTCTGACACACACTGATTGTGTGAGCCTAGCTGGGTCACCAGACCTGACTGGACAAGGGGGCGTAGCTCCCAGCCTGCCCAGAAGAGAGAAGGTTCTGAGTCCCACGCAGTTGTTTTAGAAGCACGTGCTAGAAATGAATCACATTTGACGCCGACATGGGTAGCTGTTATTGGAGTGCGGTATTAAGGCGTGCGTCCTCATTAGGAGCAGGAGCTGGACTATAGAAGCCGTGGACCCAGCTTAGGTAAGTTCATCTATGCCTGCAGTAATGAACTTCTGGGCCTGCAAGGGCACAGTTCTGTTATTAAGTCAACCGTTTCCTTACGGTTGCTGACATTTTTATGTTGGAGATGCAATGCTCCTGTTTTGGCCAGTTACTATAGTCGAGAGTGCTTGGAGTGTGTGTCCTCGAAGGTGAACCAGCGGGGCTATTGCCTTTATCAGAGAGAGACAGAGACAGAGAGAGATGATGAAGTCAGGATAAGCATGGCCCAGGAGAGCCTCTTTGGACCCCACCATCAGGAAGACACAGCCCTTCATCCTTACAGCTGGCTGCTCTAGGAGATGTCCTTTATTGCCACCCTAAGCCAGGGACAGAAGCTGAAGGAGAGGAGGTACAACTCACAGCCACACCCACCGCCCGTGGGGGACAGGCTCAGATCTCATCCAGTCCCGCCTGCGTGTGTCCCACTGCACTCTGTGAATCTTTAAGCAGACAGCAATCAGCTGGCCCTGACTTTTCCTTTTTGTGTCTCTGCGTATAACCTTTGTCCCCGACAAAGCAACCGGAGAAGGCAGCTTGTGCCTTTGACTGTCACGTGCTCTCGGCAGAAGGTGAAGGACTTGTAGAACCAAGAAGCCAGCTCTGCCTGGCCACACCATATGGCTTGTGCCGTGGCTATTTCCAGTTCGTCTTTGGATTGAAAATCAAGCCCCCTCCCCAGCATGATGACAAAGACCCTTTAGGGTGTGTTTATTAGGCTCAGCTCAGCACCAGGCATTTTATCCAACCGCCTTCTAATTCTCAAATTCACCCTGTAAAATGAGTCAAAGTCCCATATCCCAGAGCCTTCAAGATGGCTCCGCTGGTGAAGGCGCCTACCACTGAGCCTGACAGCCTGTGTGTCACTCCTGAGACCCCCATGGTGGAAGAAGAGAAATGAGTCCCAGAGTTTTCCTTTGGCTTCCCCATGCAGAGTGCGGCATGTGCAAGTCCCCCATACCAAATCAATTAATCAATACTATAATGAAGAACTTTGTTCAAAGATTCTGAGTCCCGAGCCAGGCAGTGGTGGCACCCGCCTTTAATCCCAGCACTCGGGAGGCAGAGGCAGGAGGATCTCTGTGAGTTCGAGGCCAGCCTGGTCTACAAAGAGAGTTTCAGTTCTATAAAGCAGAGAGAGAGAGAGAGAGAGAGAGAGAGAGAGAGAGAGAGAGAGAGAGAGAGAGAGAGAGAGAGATTCAGGACAGCCAGAGATACACAGAGAGACCCTGTCTTGAAAAACAAACAAACAAAAAACAAACAAACAAACAAACAAAAGATTCCATGTTTCAGATCAGGGGAAACTGAGGCTTGGAGAGATGGTATTCTTAACCTGCTGTTCCCATCTGACTCCAGGGGTACAGTGCCATCTCTCTGAAGGATGTTTTCTTGCCTGTCCCCCCCCCCCTTTTTTTTTGGTCACCAATTTCAAACACAGTTGTTGACCTGGAGAAGACACCATGTTGCTCTGTCCCCTGCCCCGGCTCAAGCATACATCTGCCACTTACCTCTCGTGCCGGGTGTCTGGAGAAGAAAGATGTGGGGTTGCAGGTTCTCGGCTCCCGCAGGAATGCTCCCGATTCCGGGGTGTGTTGACTTCAGCCCTCTGCCCACCAGCAAGGACTGGAACACAAGGTCAAAGTCTTCGGCAGTGGAGGGGGCACAGAGCAAGGGGTGGGGCTGGGCACTGTGCTGCTCCCAGGGACAGAACTCAGCCTGGCAAAGGGACCTCATGTCTCCTGGCTCTAGTGAGCGGCCTGACTTTTCTGGCTGATCCCAAGCCCCTGTGGACAGGCCTGTGGGGAGGGAGGGGCTCATGGGCACAAGAAGACCTATCTCCCTGGCCAGCTGGAGATGAGCCTTCCCCCCCCCCCCCACTTCTTGCTGCCACTCAGCAGAGGGGAGGATCGTTCCCTGGGCCCACTGTGGGCCAAAGACAGAGGACAGGGACTTCCAGGCCAGCCAGCCAGCTCACCGAGGAGGGACGCCTGTCTGGGCAGTGAGGATGTGTGCCTCTCTGTTTCAGTATCCCAGAGACGAAAGCCCTAGGACTCCAGGCTGCCTTCTGCCAAGGCTAGACCTCCAGCCTGGCTATAGGAGAACAAAACTCGTCTGGATAAACAGATAAGGATCCTGAGGCCCAGAGACGGGAGGGGAACTGTGATGGTCCAGCCTCGACCACCAGCCTCGACTTCAGCGACACTCACCACAAAGGAAGATGATGCAGGAAGCATGCATGACACGGGAGAGCCCAGGGCAGCATGCATGCTGGGCAGGTACCCTGCCTCCAAGGTACAGCCTCAGCCTGCTCTTAGAAAACTACAAGTGCAAGCGGGGCGGTGGTGGCGCATGCCTTTAATCCCAGCACTCGGGAGGCAGAGGCAGGCGGAACTCTGTGAGTTCGAGGCCAGCCTGGGCTACAGAGTGAGCTCCAGGAAAGGCGCAAAGCTACGCAGAGAAACCCTGTCTCGAAAAACCAAAAAAAAAAAAAAAAAAGAAACAGAAAAATTAGACAAATTACAGATCACCCTCTTCCTCTCTTCCTCTCTGTCTCTCTCTATCTCTCTCTCTCTGTCTCTCTGTCTCTGTCTCTCTTTCTCTGTTTCTCTATCTCTCTGTCCCACCCCCATTCATTTGGTGAGAAATTATCTCCCCAGGTATCCCAGAAGAGGCTTAAACTGATATAATCATTGGAATCAGAGGCCCCAAAGCTATGAAAGCAATTTTTATTTGGCCAGAGTTACGGAGTTACTACCTGATTGATAAACAGCACAATTACCTTGTTAGTTATCCTCTAACACACTTTACCTTGTTATCCTCTAACACACTTGACCTTGTTATCCTCTAACACACTTGACCTTGTTATCCTCTAACACACTTGACCTTGTTATCCTCTAACACACTTTACCTTGTTATCCTCTAACACACTTTACCTTGTTATCCTCTATCACACTTTACCTTGTTATCCTCTAACACACTGAGGCCAGGGCAGAACCGGAGAGAATTCTCAAGTCAGAAGCCGGGGTAGGAAGGAGGAGATGGGCGGTGGTGGCGCACACCTGTAATCCCAGCACTCAGGAGACAGAGCCAAGCAGATCTCCATGAGTTCGAGGCCAGCCTGGTCTACAGAGCAAAATTCAGGATGGGCACTAAAACTACAGAGAGAAACCCTGTCTAGAAAAAACAAAACAAAAAACAAAGAACAACAACAAAACAGAAAGAAAAAAAAAGAAAAGGAAAAAGAAAGGAAAAAAGCCGTCTGGTGGAGTCTGGTCAGTCTCATGTTAGCTGGTCCTCCTGCCTCAGCCTCCCAAGTGCCAGCAAGTGCCAGCGTTAAAGATGTGCTGGTTTGTGCAGGTTGATAGCACTGAGGATCAAACCCTGGGCATCCTGGTCAAGCATGCCACCACATGGCCATCTCTGTCTCGTTTGTTTTGACTTTTGTTTGTTGCTTTTGAGACAAGTTCTCACTCATTAGTCCAGACAGGCTTGGCACCCTCCATCCTCCTGCCTCAGCCTCCCGAGGGCTGGAACTGCAGGTGTGAACTGCCGTGCCTGGCTTCCTTTCTTACTTCCTGATTCTGCAAAGCTGTCCTGGATGTCTTTCTCTGGCACCTTTGTTTAATTGCTGCTGCTTTAGGATTAACTCCTAAAAATGCAGCCACTGGGCCCAGGAGTTTGTCCATGTGAAATCTGACCCACTGTGCCCTCCAGGGGGGCTTTGTCTCTTTACCAATGCAGAAGAGTATTCACCTCAGAAGCCAGCTCTACTTGTCCCACCTGGACAGCAAGAGCTTCCTTAGAGTGTACACTGCCTTCATTGGCCCAGCCCTGACATAGTTTCATATCCTGGTTGACCTTTGTGGCTACTTCCTCCTTTTACACTGAGGCACGTCAAGTATTTTTCTTGTTGACTTGAGGGCACTCTTTCTGTGTGTATAGATGTTATCCCTCCCTCGGTTGGAAATGTTACTTATCTAGCAGAGACTTAAAGTCTATTTGCTTCAGTTTTGAGACAAAGTATCTTTATGCAACCCAGGCTGGTCTTGAACTCGCTACATAGCTGAGGCTAGCTTTGCACTCCTGACCCTCCTACCTCAGCCTTCAAGCGCTAGGATTACAGGCATGTGCCACCCCCGCCCCCACAGCTGTATCTATATCTCTATATTTTTACTTAAGTCTATTTTTAGGCAGCATAGTGGCTTATATCTATAATATAGCACTTGGAAGGCTAAGGCAGGAAGATTGTGCATTTGAGGCTATCCTGGTCTCCGTAGCTAGATCCACTCTCAAAATAATTTTGTTTAATCTGCTCTGTTTTTTTTCCTTTATAATTTCTACCGTTAATTTCATATGTAGAAACTCTCCCTGCAATGTCCTCCTACGTGTGATATCAGAAATTATATAGATTTTCTTAAAACGTATTATTATTGCTTTCTTAATAAGACAGGCTTTGAACACAGGGGCTTTGAATGGATGGGCAGTGCTTCCCTCAGAAAACATGGGTGCAAGATGCGGGATACCTCCTTTGGAGTTATTGGTCAAGGAGGTGACAGAGGCTTCCAAAAAAACGACACAGGGCACCATTGTCCTTGGCTGCCCACCAGAACTCGATGGTAAAAACCAGTTCCAAAGACACAACACACTTTGGTTGCAGGACACAGAACGATCAGGTTGAAATTTACCTGAAAATCCCCTCCCTTGTGGGTACGTCTCACAGTACTGGAAGGCGCTGTGCAGGTCAGGGGGCCAGGAAAAGACAGCTGTGGTCCTGGCATCCTACAGTATGGATCTGCCCGGTGAGACGTGTTCACGGGCGCAATAATGGTACAAGGGTTATGGAGGTCACCAACGGCTTTTGCATTGGATCTGAGCCTGCCGCAGGAAAGATTTCAGGCTTTGTGCTGTAAACCTGCTCAAAAGCCCAGGAGGTCAGGGGTCACAGGGAGGAGCCTACTATTGGCAAACTACCTTCCAAAAATCTACGCTTATATCCACAGATTAGTGCTTTCTTCAACCTTGGCTGGAGACCCTTCTTCATGTGATGGCCAACATTTAGTGCAGGGACTCCTAACTGGTCAAAGTGCTGGGAATAAGATTATTAATAGACACTATTCAGCCCCAAAGGGGACTTCTCTATAAACCTCCCTCCCCACCCTCACCCTCAAAGGCCTAGGGAACATTCTACTTAAACCCCAAGCGAACATCCTAACATCATCGCCTCGGCAGCATCCCCTTTTTTTATGACATAGCATCCTATACTCATTCGACACTGAACACATTGTGTGTGCTGAATCCAAAAGGTGATATGTTCTGGGGAATGGGATATGGATCTTTTTTTTTTTTTTGTGATATATATTTTTTATTTTACAATACCATTCAGTTCTACATATCAGCCATGGGTTCCCCTATTCTCCCCCCTCCCACACCCTCCCCTTACCCCCAGCCCACCCTCCATTCCCACCTCCTCCAGGACAAGTCCTCCCCCGAGGACTGTGATCG